GAGTGAAACGTTTACGGTTACGGAAGTAGTAGTAGTAGGGTAGGGTACGGGAAAGTACTACTACGTTCTATTTCGTCCTACTAGTAAGTTTAGTTAGTTAGTATCTTCTCTTATTATATATATATATATATATATATATATGTATATATACACATAAGTGTCACTAGACGGGTTGCTATCCTGAATTATCTTTAGTTTATTATGATATATGTTTATAAATGAGGTTATTTTATGTTCATTGCAGTGAGTTAGTTTGTCTTCCTTGCTTGTTTTTCTGCACTCTCTTCTGTCTACTTCTTACATATGTCTAACTCTTATCCCCTCTTTGTCATCTCTTTATATCACCATGCAATTTTTTGTAAGTTTGAAATCAAAATTTTGTTTTACTTGTAATTTTTCTCTGTATTCAACCTTTTAGAATTAACAAACTGATGACCCTTGTCTGGTTTAAATTTTAGTAAGTTTCTTAAGTTCTATTACTCTTTGTCATCTGTTTATATCTTTATGCAATTTTTTGTATGTAGTTTGAAATCAAAATTTTGTTTTATTTCATTAGGCTTTTTTCTCACAACTTTGATTCATTCTCTATATTCAACATCTTCTTTTTCTCCTTTTCTCGTTTCAATTAGAGCACTGCCTCCTTCACTTGGCACTAACATGCTCATCTACATCGGTTAGAATTAACAAACTGATGATCCGGTTGGTCCAAATTTTAGTAGGGTTTCTTAAGTTCTGGTACTCTAATGAAATTAACACATCCTGTATTTATGCATGCTTTGTCAACATCTTGTGTATCTTTTGGTTCAACATCAGCCCAACTTCCATAGATTTCTTTCCTTATATTTTCAGTTTAATATTAGAGACACCAGTATCCTTATCATCATACTTCTCAATTCCAAGATTGACATCTCATTTGTTTATGCTTACAATTAGAGCATGTTCGTTTGGGGGAAGGGTTGTCTCTAGAAGACAAACTTTCTCCATTACTTTAGCATGGAACTGTTTAGTACATCCTACACATGAGTTCTTCCTCCAAAATGGTAACAATTTTCGACGGACATCCTACACATGAGTTCTTCCTCCAAAATGGTAACAATTTTCGACGGGGTACGCAATCCCTACCTTTTTTCCTTGTCGCTCAACCTTTCTTCCCTGCTATGTGAGAATTAAAACCAGGTACCCCAATCTTTCTTCCTCGCTAGGTGAGAGATAAAACCAGGTACCCCAACCTTTCTTCCTCGCCAGGTGAGAGCTAAAACCAGGTACCTCCCCTCCTCTTTTCTATCTCCCTCGTGTTCTCTCTGCATACTCTCTCTCTTTCTTCTCATTTCTCCCTCTCTCCATCTTGGTTCTCTCTCCTCTCTCTCCCCTATTCTCTCTGTGCTCTCTCTTCGTCTCTGCCTCTCTCTCTATCTCGGTTCTCTTCTCTCTCTCTCTCTTGTTCTCTTTGCACTCACTATCTCTTCATCTCTCACCCTCTCTCTCTATCTCGGTTCTCTCCTCTTTTTCATCTGCTCTTCTATTCCTCTCCCCTGTTCTCCTAATCGTCAACTTCCACACAGAGACCTAAGGGAGAAAGCTGTAGAGGAAAAGTGAGAGAGAGTGGGTTTGGCCTCAGAAAGGGTATTCACATTGTGGGCTTCTTGATTGCATGATCTGATAGCAGGGACAGAGGTGTTTACATTTATGGTTGAATGGAGTTGCAGAAAGAGGAGATGATCTTCTTTTGTGAGGTGAAGAGGTGGTGAAAGAGAGAAAGAATGATGCATTTAGTGGCCCACATAGGTTGGCCTCAGTAGCAGTACGAAGAAGGCTGTTGCGTGGTTGCCGGATAACCCATTCTTCCCCTCTCATTTATCTCTATTATGTAGTTTTTTTCTCCCTCTTTCCCTTCTTTTTCTCTATCCTTTTTAAGTGCTATGAATGCGGAAGGATGGGAATGTGGGTCGATGGTTTTATTCATCGCTCTACTCGTCATGTTGTCATAGCTGATGGTGGCTTTGTTGTCTTCTTCTGATCTGTCATGGAAGGCAATTACTAGGCGTTGAGAACATTGCCCTGAATCTGTTGGTACTGTGGGTTTAGAAGGCATTTTCTTGTGTTTATTCCTTTGTTCTTGTTGGCTGTTTTCATATGTTCTTTCCGTCTCTATTTCTCTCCTTTCTTGCTCTTCTTTAGTGTTAATGGTTTTAATTTGGTTTGAGAGAAATTATGTGGGGTCTTCCTTTTGAGATGCTATAATTTAACATCATTATATGATGGGAAAATCCCCCATGAGCTTTCATCATCTAGCCTTACATGGACAATATGTTGCTTATATTTAGTAATCTAATGCTACAAGAACAGTATGGTGATGGCTTGTCAATTTCTAGATCATTACGTTGATGAATATAAATGTCCCATCGTTTTGAAATGGGTATGTATATAATGCAAAGATTTTATATCCTCCTCTCAATATTTTGAGATATGAAAGGTAAACACTCCTTTGTGCGACAGAGTACATGTTGTTTCCTGAAGCTATTGTCTCTATGCGATTGTGATTCATTTTATATCTGAATAAGAACCCAAGACCTTCCTAAAGCTACTGTCTCTATGAGATTGTGATTCATTTTATATCTGAATAATAACCCAAGACCTTTCTATGACCTTTCTGGATCAACTAAATGAAGTGTTCCATTGTGGTTACTATTGAATTGTGCTCACTAAGTGCATTTATTTTCTCCTGGATTTCCTTTTATTAGGAGGCGATTTGGCCTCTGATGTTTTTCTTATTGCCATATTGTACAATGTCCTGTCCTAAAATAAGTTAACGTATTAAATGTATGAGATCACTGTTTTATGTACTATTTTCATGAATAATGTTTTATGTACTTTTCATGAATAACGTATTAAATGTATGAGATCACTTTTATATGTACTATTTTCATGAATAATGTTGTCTTTTGTAAAAAAATAACTTTCATCACCAATACCAATGAGGAGGTCAAAGTTAGACCCAAGATCCACCTAACAATGCATAACTTCAATCTCCCTATCACAATGTCATTAATATCTGTGAAGTGCATACACAATGCAACAACATTAAGGAGAACCGGAGTGCCGCAAAGTTTAAGTTTTGATTCATATATAAAACTGGAGAAATGTTATTTCTCCTTCGTAAACATATACAACAGATCCATAAAAGGAAGCTAGGCATCTCTATGCGCCCTACTAGATGCCCCGACCAGCCTTTCCATTATAGATTAAAGATATTTATAGGGTAATTATCGTAAATATACTTTAATTTTAGATTAATTGGAAAAAAACCTCCAACTTTTATAAATTTCGTCTACACCCATTTTATTCATTTTCAAGTTTTTTTTACGAAAATAACTTTCACGGTAGTTGTTTTACCGTAATACATATTGCAAGTTTTACAGTAATTAAAATATCGCAATAACTTAAAGTAATATTACAATACTTTAAGTATTCTAATAAATAACATTTTCTTTACGGCATTCTTTCTACTTTAATAAGTTGAAGTTTTATTACGGCAATTAAAATGCCATAATGTTTTCGCATGTTATAAATTCTAACCCGAAGCTCATTCTTTTTTAATGGTTTTTGTTTTACTGTTATAAAGTTCTCAACCTTTGCGGTTCTCAACTTTTGTGCTCAATCTCTCGGGTCTCTCGCCCTCATCAGATATTTGAAGTAATAAATATTTCTTTAGATTTATAATTGAGGTTGTATATTTATTTTTTGATTCCACGTTTCGAGCCTGTTGTGTGATGATCGATTGTATTATTATTTCTATATTCTTTATTTCTTTGAAGTTGTTTAGCATTATGTGTTTTTTGTTTGTTATGCACTTTGATATATATATGCGTATAAGCTTGGAAATGTGCTACATATCTAACCTATCAAGATAGTTATGTTGGATTTGGTGCTATCCAAAATCACCAACGTAAGAGAATCCCATATTTTGTAGGATTGAGATATTTCTTTGTTAATTAGGATTGCTATTAACCAATTAGATATTATTTAGGAGTTGGTTATTGGGATAAGTTCTAATTGGATTAAGATGAACTTGAACGCCCATATTTAAAGAGATAAAGATTAGTTTCCCAAAAAATAAGGAATAGAAAGGGTCATCATGTGAGCCTTTTTTGTGAGTATTTTTTATCTATATAATGGGCTATTTTTAGAGAGAGATAGTGTGCCCTATTTATGTCACGGGAATGGTGGTTCTTTGAAAGAGAGAGGGAGTGGTTTTTTGAAAGAGAGAGGGAGAGAGCCTCATGTGTATAAGATGTAATTTTTTCTTAGAGAGAAGATAGTTTCCTTTAAAGAAAAACATTGATGGTGCTTGAAGATTTCAGCAGAGTGAGTAGGTGATTTTGATATCAAGGTGGAGATTGTTGGATTTGGTGCTATCTAAAATCACCAACATAAATAAATATCATATTTCGTGAGATCGAGATATGTTTTTATTAATTGGGATTGGTATTAACCAATTAGATATTCTTTAGAAGTTGGTTATTGGGATAAGTTTTATTTGGATTAGGATGAACTTGGGGGCCCATATTTAAAGAGATAAAGATTAAGAGACATCAGGTGAGCCTCTTTGGTGAGTCTCTTTTTTTTATATAATGAGTTATTTTTAGAGAAAGAAAGCGTGTCGTATTTGAGTCACTTTATAGGAATGGTGGTTTTTTTAGAGAGACAGAGGGAGATAGAGCCTCTTGTGCATAAGATGTAATTTTCTCTTAGACAGAAGAGAGTTTCATATGAAAAGAAACATTGATGGTAAATGGATGAGAGAGAGAGGAGGCTAAGAAAGAAGAAAATGCTAAAGAAATCATGAAAATAGTGTTTTATGAAAAAAAAATGGTAAAAGAAAAAGGCAGGAGAACATTATGGTTATTTTAATACCGTATAATCTATGTAAAGTATTATGGTAGTTCGAGTACCGTAATTGGATATTATGACATTATGGTAGATAAATTACCATATAAAATGTGCTAAGAATTACGGTATATAAATTACCGTAAAACATTTGCTAGTCATTATGGTATTTAAATTGCCGTAATATTTTCACGGTAAATAGACTATCGGGAAGGCCATTTTGGTCCAAAAAAACCCGAAAATAATGAATAAGGGTGTAGACAAGGGTTTTGGAAGTTGGCTTTTTTTTTCTTCAATTAAGTTAAAATATAGGTATATTTACGATAATTTCCCTTGTTTAAATGTAGAAACACCCTCCAATTGATCATCTCGACATTGAGATGTCAGAATATATATATAAAAAAGATTTGAGTAGAGAAAAATAGTGCATCTTGCAATACATTATATAGACCATCCATTTTCAAGATTTTCATATGTTTATAGATCTACTTAATTTTAATTATTTTTGAAGTTTAAATTTTATATTTTCATATAATCCTAGTAATATTTATGCCAAAATTACATGTTATGATAAAATTTGGAGGTATGTCTTAATTGAATTGTTTAAGGTTGCAACCTGAAACCACGCCTCTCTTTCTCTCTCTCTCTATATATATTAACCACAAAACACGTAGTGATCATAAAAGTCAAGAGTAACTAACATATAATAAAACTTAAATTACAAATGTTCCCGAGTCTCATTTTTTGACAAAATTATGCAATAACATATATAGAAAATGACTACATTATCTTACTTTTTTTCGTTGTTGTTAGAGAATAGGGAAAAATATCTTTTAAGGGTGCGGATTGTATAGAGCCGAGGCTCTAAACAATGATAGTAAAGCCTACCTTCAAATAGTATCGAGAAATGTGGTTTCAAAACTAGAAATCTTTGTGATAGCTTAAAAATATATTTTCGTCTTTGATTATAAAATTTAAAGCTTAAAAAATAGTATCAATCGAGTAGATCTATAAAATCTTGAAAATTGACGGTCCAAATATGCGTTACAAGATGTACTACTTTCAAAACTTGAAATCCATTTTATTTCATGCATCTTAAAGGCAAGATGATCAATACGATAATATTTGGGCATAAAAACAATATCTTTTAGTGAAATTTTTTAGGTAGGCTCTAGTTTGATTTGTAGAGCCTAGGCTCTACATAAACTTTTTCCATCTTTTAAATATGACGAGTGGAAAAATTGAAGTTTTAAAATCTTATTATGGAGCTTTTACAATTTTTTAATCTCCATGCCATAACTATTTTAAACGTAAGTATTAGGGGCACGTATTAAACACAACATCCATGTATGCCTTAGTAGTAGTATTGGCGTGTCCTATGGGGAGGTCTCACACTCCATTCTCACCACTTGGCAGGGGTTGAAATACCCATTTTTTTCAACCCCATTTTTTAGAATGGGATTGGGGTCGTAGTAGTAGTTCTACTTGTGCATCTAAAGTCTATGCTTTCATTCTCACCTAACACATTAAAAAACCACTAACAATATAAAAAAATGGGTAAGGGATCGTCAGTCCCACTGAATTACCTAAAAAAAAATTAATTCAAAAGGCTAGCTTCACCTTCTATATTTGGCAAGAACATAATCTCTCTCTCTCTCTCTCTCTCTCTCTCTATATATATATATATATATATATATAAGTAAGT